AATACGCATAACATACCATTGACTCATATATATATATATATATATATATGAATTTACTTTTTGTGATTTCCGAAAATGGCACTGACTAGTCGATTATAATCTCTATCACTGTTATCTTGAGAAATCAATAACTAATTTAAAATTAGCTTTAACTAGTATCGGTTTATAATCAGTAGATTACGTAATCTCTAACACTTCCATCTTGATTTTTTTTTTTATTTCTCGCTAAAACTAGGAAAGCCAAATTCTATACATTCATTGCAATTTTTTTTCCAATAACATTGTAATTCATCTATCTTGTCTGTTTGTGCATGACTTTTAATTTTTTGGAGAAATTAATTCATCTCACCTTGCACTAGGGACAAGGGCATGGGTTTGGAAGAAAAAGAAATTAGATCCGCGTACTCCACCTGCCCCTATAAAGTAAGCAGTACTCTGCCAAGATCTAATCCAAACCAGCCAACCAGCCAACCAACCAACCAAATTATTGTCCCAATTCACATTATATTTGAAAAAGAAAAATGAAAAATCATATAACAACTTATGATCGAGTTCTCATTTTGACCAATCTGAATTTATTACAGAGGCACCTCCCCAAAATAATTTAGCCATCTCGACGTCCATGTCTTATTGTACCCTCCTCTATTTAATTTACCTTGTTCTTTGCATTCTTGATTCATATTTATATGGGTAGTTGACTATCCAAACAAGAATTACTACCCATCCTAATATTTCAAAACATATTTATTAATTATAGGGAAGCAGATGAAGACAAACAGTGGCTAATGAATATGATCTAGTGATTCTAGATTATCCATTATATTCAGTACTTAAGGCTTATATATATATAAACGACTATCCAAAACAGGTAAAAAAAAAAAAAGAAAGGAGGGCATGCATATATGCTCTTGGCCTGGAGTCTTTATCCTGTCACAAAGAACATGAGAACTTATCCTAAGAAAAGAGGTAGATGGGTATGTGAAATGATAGAAAGAATGATAAAATGTGTCAGAGAGAGGGATACAATGCACTTGCAAGATGGAATACATAAAATGTTCTAAATTCATGGGAAAGGGGTCTCCCCTCACTAACAATCAAAGCCACTGTGGGGAAGATGTTGGGACCTTAGTGGGATATAACACATGGGGTCTCTTTGCTAGATGCGGTTTGACCATTTTCCTCTTAATTTTTTAATACCCACTTTGGTTTCATTTGAATGGCAAGATAAGAGAAATGGCTTTTAGTGTGGCATGATCCTTGAGACATGAACACTACTGTAATTCGACCCTGCCTTGGGAGGCAACCTACCTGCCCATTCTCTTTCAATCAGTGCCTAAAAAACAAATAAAAATTCTCTCTCTCTCTCTCTCTCTCTTTGCTTTTTTTCCTTTTTAGGAAAAAGAGATTATAATCACACTCGTGTTGATATCTTTTTTCAGAAGGCTGTCATTTCAAGGGCAAAAATCATTTGCCAACCTCGCATATCATAACATTCATAGTTAATTTTGACAACTTGTTATAAGGAATTGGAAATTTAAAATTAGAGAAAATCACTTTATTTGACATAACTAAATAATAGGACGTGCGGGTTAGGTTGGTATAAATATGTTTATATCTTTATTTTTCTAACTATTTGTACTAACAGCAAATTAATGATATGCGATTGTATAATGACATCACCATCCTCTATGTGCTCTATGCACTTTTTTTTTTTTTTTTTCTGAAATTTTTTGTTTCCCAGTGGAAGGATTTAAACCCTAGTCATCTAGAAAATCTATGTTTTCTATTCCCATACTGTTAAATTACATTTAATTAGTATTGTGATTAGTTCGAATTTTGACTCAAACCGATCTGACTCTGACATAATTAAATAGATGTGTATTAAACTACATATAATAGTTATGTTATTTACTTGGGCATTAATTTAGTGTTCAAGAAATTAGAAAAACAATGGACTGTAGCTCCCTCTTCTACTGAGTCAGAATATAAAACTATGGCTGATGTTACTGTTGAGTTGTTCTGGTTGTAGTCCTTATTCCATGAACTGATCAAAGTTAGTCTTCTACTTGCTCTTTTTTTGGTGTGACAATAGTGGAACAACTTATATCATTCACGACTAGATCTGTCTTTCATCATGCTCATAGCAAGCAAGTGGAGATCGATTAATGTCACTTTGTGCTTGAAAATATTACTTGTAAAGACCTTGAGATTAGACACAATAGCTCTGCGGATCAGCTGGCGGATGGGTTCACCAAAGCTCCTTCTACAAACATGTCGGTTTCTTGAGCTCAATGCCAAGCTACCGGCACTGCCATTATCCTTAGCTTGTTCTTGCGGGTGGATGTTAGGAAAGCAAATCCTACTATGCTTCCTCCTACAAGTCCTATTAAGTTCTACAACAAATCCCACTACGTACTAGCACCACAAAACTAAGAGCTCATACTAGTCAGAATCCTCACGGTACTGTCACTCCAAAGACACAAGGATTGTCCAAACCTATCTCTCGTAGACTATAATGTCGGTTCTCTCTTGATGTTTGTTGTACATGTATATCTTACATATCTCTTATTAGATACACTTGTATATTATTGAGAGATTGTTAGATAGTCTATCATATAATGCATAGATTAAATCAATAAAAATAAGATACAAAGACAAAAATAGTAGATCTTAATTGCCTAATAATATTTACTTTTTACATGTTTTATTTATGTGTTTTGTTTTTATTAGTCTTGCCTACAAGGAACATGTTAAATTAAATTTATTAAATCATTTTGTATAATTAATAAAGTTAGCCTATCTTATTTTACAACTTGTGTATTGTAATTGTATTATATATTCACAAACACGTGTGTGCGCGATTGATCCCTATACTGTGATATAATAGTAAGGATTTTATAACTTATCTTCTAGCTTTTCTAATTAGAGAAGTGTCAGTTCATTCTCTTAGCTCACTTCGGGCATATATAATTAAACTGGTCAATCTATTAATCCAATCAAACCTAAAATTCATAGGCTATAATATTGGGAATTGCCCTATTTACACATAACTTTTTACTTTTTCACTATTTGATCGAGTACATGGATTTATGTTTTACATTTTGAAATAAAATCTTTATGAATTTTGTCAATCAAGTACTTCACTAAACAATCTATATATCAATTTTTTATTTTTATTTTTCATTTTTAATGGTCTGATATGACTTTGGACAACTGATTCCAAATTTGGAGACTTTTTTCGTATTTTTTTCCCTTTTTAAGAAATAGTTCCCTTCAACTACATTTTACTTAATAAATGAATTTTAAAAAATTAAGATAAATGAATATTTTTAAATTAAAATAAATCCTTTTTATTTTGTTTTTTTTATCAAATAATTATCTTAATCTAAAAGTTTAAAATGTTAAATGAGATTTTATAAATGATTTTATATTATTCTCTAACACACTTCCTTAAATAAAAGCTAAATGAGACTTAAAAAATGATTTTATATTATCATCTAACATATTCTTTCAATTAAAAACCTTTTAAACTTAAAATTTGTACATACCAATCCTATCTTATGCTTAATTAATTAAAAAAATAAGGGCAAAACTCAATAATTTTTATTTTATTTTTTAATACTTTCAAGCCTATGATATTATGTCAAAAAACAATTTCAAGCCAAATATTTCAACGGTTAATTGAGACTTCAAAAATAATTTTATATTACTCTCTCACATTTTCACCTTTCAATTTTAATTTAAAATGTATATTGCTTAGTTTCACTAACAAAGGAGATAACATATATATATAATGGAAATTCAAGGTAAAAACTTATTGCAATCTAATAGTCTTTTTTTTTTTTTTTTTTGGTGGACGAAAATTGAGATTATATTAAGAGAAGAGAGCTAGCAAGAGGATAGTAAAAAAAAAAGTTATTGAAGCCATACTCATGCCTATTAACACTCCTGTTTAGCTAGATTATCGGCTGCCTAATTCCCCTTCCTATGAATATGCGAAAAAGAAACATTGCCCAGCTTTGATATCAGATTGCTAATATCATTAAAAACATTTGAAACCTCCAAGGCCTTTAATGTGTCTGAGCAGACATCCAAGTAACCACGTTAGCGGAGTCAGTCTCAACAACTCCAGCAAACTGGGAAGACGTAATTAGCCCCATAGCTTTCTGCAGAGAAAGAAATTCTGCTTCATCACTACAATATATGAGAAGAGGGGCATGCATCACCAGAATCATATTCGAAATAGCTATTGTGAGATCGATGCAGCAAATAGAATTATATTCGTAATAGTTATTGCGACTTAATTATAACACCAAATTTATTCTATTTAATACGGACTTAAAACACATAATGGTTAATTTACAACAAGCATTAATATAAAAAAATTAAGTGAAGAACACAAAAGAAATTACATGTTGGATAAATTGGCTAAGGTGATGCAAAAATTTAAGTGTGTAAAAATTTTACCATATATGCACAGGCACATGATCAACTAGCACCTCACTGCCAAAGTCCATGCAATGAAATAGTTGTTCGTTGCATAGGACGTGAGAGCTATGGTTCAAACAAAGGAACGAAAATGGCAAACCTGTCCGAAAGCTGGCCCTGAACATCCTTACTACTAAAAAAAAATGGCAAACTTGAGTTTCTTAATATGGTTATACTATGAGGAAGGAATATCTCTAATTGTACTATAAAAAGCCATAAAATCTTGCACTGGATCTCAGTACTGACATTTCCGAGTCCATATTTTATTTTATTTTTCCTTGATAAGCCTTGGACATGTGATTATGATTCTGTTGTAAACAACTGTTTAAGAGAGGAGGAAGATTACACAAAATATTTGAATTAATGAGCCAGGCATACATTAGAATCCTTTAACACTACTACAACACACAACAAGATGACAGCAAAATCATGATTAATTACAAAGATCCAAAAAACAGTATTGATGACTAGTACATAAAACACGCAATAGCCCAAATAATTAATCCTATCTCTCATCTAAGCATCTGAATTGTGCCCGCCATAGTAGTAGCAGACTGGCAATTCTTTACCAAAGAAGAATAACCTACATTAGGCATCGTCGCTCCCGTGAAGCCAAAACCACCCATTGGCCTATTCGCACCTGCTTGTTCTAAAGATTGCACTTGCTTCTTCAAGAACTTCACATAATGTATAGCCTCATCTAACATAGAAGCCGTGTCCATTTTGGTGCCTCCTGGAACTAATCTCTGGAGAATCCTTATCCTCTCACTTATTCTTTCCCTTCTATGCCTCGCAGCCACACTCTGTGGATCCTTAGATATCTTGACATTCCTTCTTTTCGGAGGCTTTACCGATTCCGGGTCTATATGTATTGGCTGCATTGCTGCTATGCGAAAGATCATCTCTCTAATTGCTGTAGTGGAGTTTTTCTTCTCTATCGAAGATAAGAAAGAGTTTGCATTCGAGAATGGAGTACTATATTTGAATTTGTTGGCCATCATATTGTGTTGAAGTGGTGGGGTCATTGGTTCTTGGATTGGAGTACCCATAAATGGCAGGGAGCAAGGAGTTGGATTTATCATCGGTGGTGAAGATGCATGTGGGTCATGATAGATAGGTGATGAAGCTACAACACTAGTAGGATTTCCATTCGAGAATTGGATTTCTTGTAGTAGTGTTGAAGTGTTAGTAATGTTGTGGAAAGGCTCACTGCAAAAATCGGGAAGCTTTTCCATCTGCATCATCATTGTCATCATGTCCATGTGTTCCTCTCCTGATGATGATTTCATCATGTCCACATCCATTGACTCTAACACTCGTGAAAACTGCCCCCAAGGTATCAGGAAAGAGAACAGAGAGTATGTGCTAAGTGTATGCTGAAGAGCTTGGGAGGGATGGGGATGGAATGGGTTGATATTCACAAGCTGAATAACTGAGCAACAGAGGTATGGAGGAGCTGAGAGAAGAGAGGCGTAAGAGAGAGATACTTAGGGCTTTGTTGCTTTATAAAATATTGCAGAGATAAAGGAGAAAGAAAAGATGATAAAAAAAGTGTGTAAGATTATCTCAGAAACCCATCACGATTTCAGTAGGGTTACAGGAAGTGGGAAGGATTTATATAGCAACTTGTTTTCTATATTTTATTCATGCAGAGTTGACAGAGAGAAGAGTCTCAGCTCATTTATGATTGAATTTATGATTTTTGATAGTGACCGCCCATTATGTAGGGCTAATCAGAAGATAATATACTCACAGCCATCTGATCTTTACTAGTTTTGACAAAGATCTAAACTACCACTACGAAAGATCAATGGTAAATAGACCCTTCAAGGATTTAGGCCCACAAAGTAGAGGGCTAGGATTAAAGGGATCTGGTGCATGAACCACTTAATAATTTGAAACTTTCTTTCACGACTCTTTAAGCGCTTTTGATCTTTGAGTGCAAGTGCAATGCTTTGCCTAGAAATTTTACATTTTTGCTAAAAAATGACACTAGAAACCCCACCATTCACATGACATGTGTCAGAAGAGCAACCAAACAGACCACCCCCTTTGATTTGGGATGAATGACCCCGGCTGCCGGTGAAGAAATCCGGTGTGTCAGTGGCAGTAGTAGATACTGATACTAGAGTCAAATTACTGAATGGGTTAGGGACCTACTATACTAAAAACTACTGATGGAGGGTCTCACACTGCTTCCTCTGTGGCACACTTTTCAATGAGGATTAGGAGCTGAACGCTGATGCTGACCCCTAGTGCAAGTACAAAAACTGATAATTTTCTGTACTGTAATTTTTAGCTGCTAGCTTGTGTGGAAAGTAGCTTTCAGTTTTCATGGAAGTGCAAATTTAGCTAAGATTTGATCGAAGATTATGAAATTTAATTTAGTGCAGAGAATAGAATTATAGTGGTCCTTTACTTTGAATTTTAACCACAAGCCGTTCTAGATGGCTTCAAGTCAGAATTACACGGTGTATATGCAATTATGCATGATTAAGGAAAACAATAGTTTTTTTTTTCCCCCCTATCTAGGATAAAGATATCTGATGACAGGTTTCTTGCACTCACTTTAAACCTATTCCATGTCAAAAATTAGATTGGAGCATCCGCATAAAATTATTTTCACATACGTATATTATGTTTTATGAAAAAACGCATAACAATTAAGTTATATATATATATATATATATCGATGGCTTAAAAAAGCACTAGATAATTCATGCATTAAAACATTGGGTTTTAGATTCAGTTAACCAAAAACTAAAAACTAAAAAAAAAAAAATCGCCAAGAAATATATGCGAGGAAATAGAACATGACTCGGCTGGGTACAGGTTGAGATTAAACAAAAAAGGACCAAAATGGATCTTTCAGTACGAATATAACCTACCATTAATTTGATGATCACAATTAAGGTTAATTTATATGTTAATTTGTAGTTTAATGAGGATAAGAGTCAGAAAAAGAGAACATGTTCTGTCTTAAAAGGGTCCAACTAGATAGATAGTAAAGTATCGATCTAATTTAGATATAAAGAGTTGTTGTATGTGTAGGTTGTTCTGTCCTTTACTACTGAATTATTACATGGAAAATGAAACCCCTTATCTTCACAGCATAAAGATTTAAGAGATGCACGTGCAGGATCTCTGCCTCATTTCTCATCTTTTTATTTATTATTATTATTTGGTGGAAAATTAAACTCAAGTATGTTCAGTGTAATATATATATACGATCTAAAAATCCAAACTTTTATCCTTCAGCCACTACTTTCTATTGGCAATTAAGCAACAATTAATGTTAATTATGTGTTCATATACTTCATATATATGGGAATGTTTTTTGCCATTCAAGTGGCGACCCACCCTTGATCCTGCGGTAACTTCTTTGAACTATTCCGCAATAATTAATTTATTGGTGCTTGTTGCCATATGGTCTCTATGCATCAATATGTATTGTTACTGTAGAATGACCGAAATAACCCAATGTTTTGTAAAAATTACAACAAAATTAGAAGGTGGCTGCTACAATACTGTCATTTGGGTTAGCTATAAATTGTTGTGCTATGTGTATGTATAAGCAATAGACATGAAATATAAGACAAAGGCTTCTCGAGTGTTTCTGAAAAATTTCAAAGGCATTGACATTGAACTGCCAGCTTGATCTAAACGAAATTGTAAAAATGCCTTGAAATAATTGCATTTTTCAGACTGGTCCTTCTCTTTTCTCTCCGTTTTTCAACCAATACCTCAAAATGCACAAACCAATAGCCACTTCAAAATTACATTTCAGTTTGTCCAACTCTGATTTCTATAATCGTCATAAGAACCTTTCCATACTTCACAAAATTGTGAAAGCAAAATGCATAAAAGCTTACAGCTTGTAAGGAGAAGGACCACGGTGCGAGGCCTACAACTATCTACATCACTGTAGCCTTGTGCTTCAATGAATATCGATGATGAACACAGTTTCCAAATATAACTCTATAATGACTATAGTTGGTGACAGTTGCTTTCATAATAAATGCAATCTTTTGCAAACCCTGCAAATTTTAAGAGCATCGACGGTGCACTTTCACCAAAACTATGTATAGGTAGAATTAATATTACGGTGCACTTTTACCAAAACTATGTATAGGTAGAATTAATATTACACGCTCCATACTTACTTTAGTCAGCCAAGTGTATTAAAGAGATAAAGTGAGAATCTGAATGCTGATCGAATTATAATTCATTCATTTGAGATTGGCCACACTCATATTATGGCATCTTCTGGTTAGAAAGAGACAAATTCTGAAGGTTAGAAAGACTTTTAGAAAGATTTTGAAAACTTACAGAGAAAGTCAAATAGATTCAAAAGCCTTTAAAAATCTCTAAGGCATTGGATAAGCTTTTAGACTGTTTAAGAAAAATTTAAATATGTTTTAGATAATTTTAGAGAGTCTCTAGATTATTTTAAAATATACAAATATATAATATTCTTTACAAATATTTAGATAAAAGAATTTTAGAGAATCAATTTTAACTATTAGACCGAATCGATCATAATCATTTATTTAGAAGGAGAAGTTTACAAATACACAAGGCCTTCATTTGGCCAAACCAACCAAGAGATCATTCAAGAGAGTTGTAATCCAAAAGTTATAAGCATTTTAAGAGCAATATGAGGAATTTTCATAATAACTCTCCTATGTGACTTTTTTGCTTCATAATTTAGTACAAGAGAAAGGCTAACTTGGTTCAGCTTTAAGAAAAGTGAGCCAAAGTGTTGTACGGTGAGCTTGGAAAAACACCAAGTTCTTGACAAGTGGTAATCGACAACAGTTGGAATTAAAGCATTCAAGAAATAAGCATGTCTAACTCTAATGTTGACAACAACATTATGGAGACCGAAAAATAGACTTTCCCTCCTCAATCTAAAAAGAGTAAGAGGAAGTCAAGTGATGCAATGGCTATCTTTGAGGAACATCTCTTAAGAAGGAATGAGCACCTTCTTGACTTCAAAGAAACAGCTTGAGGTGATGGAAGGGAATGATGAGGAAGAGGTACTAGGCATGATAAGCTTACATGAGGTGCTCTTCAATCTCTAAACTTAAACGAGTGTCAACCGAGAAGTACGCCAAAGAAAATGCTATTTAAAAAATGCTCTTGTTTATTACGCTAAGGAGTGCTTTCACAAAATAAATAGGTAATGACTAAGTATAAGCAAAATCTTGAATAATTTAAAAAAGATTAGGCAATTGATAATGAAGCTATAGCAAACGATGTAGTATTGAGAAACACACCAAAAGTTAAAGTGTTAAAGCCACATCACTAAACTAGCAAGGAGGAGGCTAAAGAAGTTGATATCCTCGATCAAGTCGATCATCTTGAAGTATCATTCTACTTACTAAAAAAAGTTGATGAATCAATGTGGGCTAGAAATCCAAGGAAAATAGCATGTTAAAACATTACTAATAGTAGCATACTATTGATCATAGTTATGTAATGATGTAGAGTTTTATGTTAAGACATGTCTTGTGTGCCAACAAGACAAAGTGAAAAAACAAGTGCTCAAGGGACTACTATAACCATTGTCTATCATAGAGAGACTATAGAAGATAATAACTATGAACTACATTATGGATTGCCTTAAGTCCAAGGAATTTAGAACCATTATCGTGATCGTGGATAAGTTTTTTTAAATATGTGATATTCATACTAGTCCTATTAGACATTATCATCATCTTATTTTTACTCCTATAAAAATACTAAAAAAGAAAAAAGAGACAAAAGACCAATTTAAAAAAAGAAAAAGAAAAAAAGAAGAAGAAACTAGGACTAGATCAGTATTGAGCTAGATATTAGACATTAGGTTAGACTTGATTAATAATAAGAAAGGAAAAACCAAAATAGAAAAAATCCTAGATTAACCCTAGAAATACCCCTCCAAATATCCCGCAAACACATACACAAAAAGAGGGGAGAACTCGTTGCCACCTAGAGGAAAAACCCTAGCAACCCAAAAAGCCAAAATAGCATTTAAAAGAAACCACCATAGCTCTCTACCTATCCACGGCCAATAACCACACATCGACTCTTCCTAATCATCTAACTAAGATGATTCCAATACCACGTAAACTACCCATTTTCGATAACATTTTAGACCTCATGCGCCACCATTAGTTTCTCTACCACTATTATTCTTAAATCTAGTTTGGTCCTTAAACTACTAATCTAGGTAACTACTGTTAGTGTTGGTGCCCAAGATCCAACCATGTTTGGATGGGCTTATATTAATATGTCATTGCAACATTTATTTTAATAATAA